TTCTGTCGTCTGACCCAGCCAGAGCCTGCTAGGATTCAACTGCAAGCCCGTCTCCATCCGGGAGCAGCTCACCCACTCCCTCCACCCTGCCAAATCTTGTTGGTCTAACGCAAGCGAGCACCTCTGCCATGAGCCCGCATTGCTTCTGCAGCACTGACACCACTGCAGCTGGCCTTGGGGTTTGTCCCTGGTGCTCTAAAGCAAGACCCAGGACCCAAATCCCGTCTCACAACAACACGAATTCAAAGTGTGCTTGGACCAACCGAGATGCGAGCACCGTCTGGCAGGACAGTCTCTCACTATTAGGTGTTTCAGTAAGATTTGAGCAGGATCATCTTCAAGAAATTAGAACCTCGCCCTTCCTTGCACGTCTTCTTATCGGGATAAGGGGCAGAGTTGGTTTCTCTTAGTTTTATTCAGGCCCTTTGTACAGGGGTGAGGAGCCAGATGCAAGTGGCAGTGTGTGACAGCATGTTTTTTACTCATTCAAATCTGTACCTCAGTGTTAAGCGGAGCGCGTATCTCGGCACTTGAAGGGCAAACCGCTGCTGCAATTAACAGCAATTTAAGAGTTCATTTGGATATCAGTGAGGTCGGTCACTTTGGAAAAAGATAAAAGTTTGATGCTGTAGGAAAAGTTTAGCAAAGTTATCACAAGGGGCAAACAAGGCTCTTTGGGTAAATCTGGTATCTTATTAGACCAATTAAATAGTTGGACATTTTTTTTAGAAAGCTTTCAGGTTTAAAAACCCTTCGTCAGGCTGAGGAAGCATCTGTAGTTGGTGCATGCTCTTAGACGCTTCCTCAGCCTGACAAAGGGTTTTTACAACAAAACACTTGCTAAAAAAATGTTTCCAACTATTTGAGTTGGTCTAATAAAAGATATCAGATTTACCCAAAGAGCCTTGTCTGCCGATGTCCTTAGACCAACTCGGCTACAATCTACACTCCTCTAAAAAAGCCTGGGGGCGGGGGGGTAGTTATCGAACAAAAAAAGCATCCTGCTGTGACTAAGTACATAACCTTTAAAATCAGTAGTATTAATATTGAGACATGTTCCACATTTCTTACCAGCTATAAATAATTTTTAGAGGCAGAGCCAGAAATAATTTTCTGTAGAAACCGTAACATTTTCTATTTATTTTTCGTATAGTAAAAAGATGTAACACTTAGAAGTTTTAGCTTACCTTGAATTAAACTAAGTAGCTATTAGAGATTTTTTTAACCTTCCCTATTTGCAGACCAGCCTCGTCTCTACCTCTTTAAACATATACCCTGAAATTTATTTTTTGTTGTAAGAATACACTGCTTATTCAGCACCACTTAGCAGTTGTAAAGATGGATTTTCCAAGATACTTGATATGACCAGAGGTATTTGTGTTCTCAACCTTTAAATATACAGTAAAAGTGTTCTAAGTATAATTTTTTCTTGATGAAAAAGATTTCTTCTGCGATTCACCATTATATCTTTATTCCTTACATGGAAATCATTTGCTAATTTTAAAATATTTTATGGAACTTTTTAGTGATTTGACCAAACACAAAGGGAAGGAGATAATTATTTTCTTCAATGTGGATCCATCACTGAAAAGGTAGATAAACCTCTGCAGAGAAGTTTAAGGACCAAGAGCTGCAGTCAGAAAAAAAAGGGTGCTGCCATGAAAGGATGGTTTTGCACATATTTTATACAGCTTAAAAACCTATCACCAGAAACTAGTTCAGAACCATGACTCAGATGCTATCGGATAATTGTTAAATGATAATCTAAAATGTCATGTAAAGATTGGGACGCTAATTATCTTGAGAGGTCTGCCAAGAGTTTAATAGCAGGGATCTATAAGTCTTCATTTCCTTCACTGCTCCCTCATGCTGAGAGAGAGAGAATAGGCAATCATTTTTTTTTTTTTTAAATCTAGACAGTATATTGATCTACAGAAACTAAAAGCTGCTCATCCTAGATATACAGTAACAAAGGTTAAATGTGTTCAAAGATCACACACTTCATTTTATGAGCACACAACTTTTAAATTAAAAATACAGATCTGACCATCTTTATTAAAGACATTCACTTACAGTTTGTAAAAAAGTTCTAACATACATAAAAGTTCAGACCAAGAAGTGAGAAGGAATGGAGGGTGTTCTGCACATACTACAATACAAATTTCAAGGTATACTTTTTAAATTGGCTTAATCTTGAAATGTAATCCAATAAGACTGAAGACTAGACACTTAAGGTCCTGGACCAGGTAGTAAAACACTCTTAATCCTTCTGGATCCCTGAAGTACAATAAGAAAAGAAAAGAAAAAAAAGCCCAGTTAGTTTGCATGTTTTTAAAAGAAGTTTATAAAACTCTGCCCTTGCAACCTAATACAGCTCCCCCTGTCCTGTCCCGTCCCCTCCACCCCGCAAGAGATCTGCTTGAAATTCCACAATTCAATCTGCTGTGGGGATTTAATCTCATGAAGCCGGTAAATTAAATTGTATCCTTCAGTCTAAGCATCAAGTCTAATTCACACAGATTTTTCTTTAAAACATACACAATGTGTTTATCACTTACAAAAGTGTAAAAACCGTCATTTTAAGATTTCTAGGAACAGGAGTTAAACCATTTAAGTGCCTTTTCAATTTAAATTAGATGCAAATTTTAGATCCTATTGAAACCAAAGAATTTTTGCTATTGACTTCAGTGAAGTAAGGTGTTTTGGTTTGTTGAGTTGGTTTTTTTTTTTTTTTTTTTTTTTAAAGTCCCTTTCACTTTTTTGCTATTTCTTTTTGAGTAATATGTTTTGTATGTTGGGCTGCAATTCTGTCATTGGGTGACCTGTAAAAATATTATGGAGTGATCTGAAACTTAATGAATGTATCTTGCTGAAGAGAGGAAGAATACCACTATTTGAACAAGTATTTAGTGACTAATACAAACGGATGCTATTAAACAGTAATGTGTATGTTGGAAAGGAGCATCTGTTCAAGAGGTAGTGTTTCAAAATACCTGAAACATTACTAAGTCACTGAGGTGGCATAAAATGGTTTGCTGTTTATTATGCCAGACTACAAGATAATGTGCCACTAAAATAACAAGATCCTCCAAAAGAGGGTGCTTTAAACAAAAGTGAATGCCTAATGTTCAGCACACATGGAAGTGCTCCTAATAAATTTAGGAATCTGTTGCAGTTACAAGAACGTTTCTGACGAAACAAGACCATTCTGGTAGAACAAGAAAAAAAATTCTAAGCAGAATACATACTTGGATTGGTTTACATCAATAAGTGAACCGATTTTTGATGTGGTAAAAGAAATGTGTTCATCACCGATGACAATTTCAAGCTCCTAGAAAATAAGCATTAAAAAAAGACAAAAAGTAAAAAAGCAGAACTGCTAGAAGATTGTACTGGTTACAGGAATGTTTTAAGCATTGAAATAGGGTTTTACATTTCAAAAGCAAATACTTATGACACCAACACTTTTGGAGTAAACTGTTCCATTATACTAAACAGATCGGTAAATAGTGATATTTTATATCTGTTCAAAGGAAGGATAACTTTTGATTAGTTTACAAATCAATTTTACACATTTATTCTGACCAACCAAAAACCCCCATACATAATAGGAGTACTAACACCAAAGTGGGGAACCTATTGCACACTAACCTGCCGACCAACTCTGTCAGGAGGGGGCCAAAGAGCATCATCTTCTTTCGTTATTTCACTGTCATCAATTATTCTCTTCAGTTCCTCCATCACACTCTTGTGCACATAGGCCTAGAGGCAAGTTAAAAAATTAACGTTACATTATGCTACATGCATTATTTTTCTTTAGCACTAATGAAGCACTCTGGGTGTTATACCAGACTCAGATAAGCATAAGCATTCCCCTGGGGATACAACACCACTGAACCCAATTAATTTAAAACCAAAAGCCTGTTTATTAATATTAAGAATTGCCAAATCAAATTGTTTTTGGATGTTTGGGACTCCTGTAGTGTTGGGCCCACACAGATAAATAGCTGACACTAAACATTTATTCATCTTGGGAGAATTCTCCATCATGGACAAAGCCAAAGGCCACAGTTGTCACTATTACATGTTGATCAGAATGTGTCCCAAAGCAAAACAATTATGGGTGTAGCAAAGCAATGAAATTATGAATAATGTCCTTAAACAGGCTACAGTACTTTTAGATGGAGAGAAATTGCACAGTGATCCTTATGGTCCCGTTACAGAGATAAGACTAAGTCCTAAAGTAAAGTGAGAGCAAAGGGAGAAAAGCGAATCTCAAAAAGGAAAAATAAGGGAATGGGAAATTCCGATGGTTAAGGCACCAGGGCTGGGATTCAGGTTATATGGATTCAGTACATGATGCTGCCACAAACCGTATGCCTTTGGACACTCATTTAAAGCCTGCAGTTAAAGCCACTTGGGGACTTCCCAAAGACTGCAACTGGCTTTTCTGTCTTACTTCTCCACAAGTAAAGCAGTGATAACCCCTTATACATGTTAATAAACAAATTGCATTCATCCACATTTGTAAGGTGAAAAACTTCATGGTGTGGGAAGCTACGTAAAGTATCTAGAAACCATTCATTTAGAATAAATGCTCAGTCTGATAAATTATGAAAACCAGCTGTTTTGTTCAATCTTATTTGCTCATATTTTATATCCAAAGATTATTCTTGCAAAACATGTAAATGTCATACCTCTTTTCTGATCATTACATCATTTTTGTAATTACTGTTGTTGGCATATCTCAGTTTTCCTGTTGAAACAAAGATGAATGTTTTACTCAACCTTGAGCAGGCAGTGTTCTATAGTGGTTAATTTCTTTTCATTATTTTGCTAGATTATAATCACATTCACAAATCTGAGTATAAGAAGGTGCACAAAGGGCAGAAAGATCTGCTGCTGAAATAGTGCATCTTCTTTGACTAGCCGCTCCCCCTTCCAAGGTAGAGAAGCAGGGAAATACCTTTAAAATGTGGGGTTCTATAGTACAGTGCTTCTCAGCCTGTTTTGTCCCAGGACCCATTTGTAAACACTGAAAGCCACTTCCGACCCAGTAAATAGTTTCAGCAGACAACACACAAGTATTCTGGCCCCAAAATACTTATTACACATTACAAGTTAAAGCAGCTCAACGGTCTTAATTTTAAAGACAGAAATCAATATCAATAGAACATAAGCAGCAATATCAACATGTGGCCCTCCATTACTCCCAAATAATATTCATCGTTGTGCAATTTGCACAGTGCAAATTCCCAGCGCTCCTCACACCCAACTCATAGCTTCCTGGCCCATAACTCCAGACTTGCAGCTCATTCTTGCTGGTGCCCTTACACTCAAGCCACAGTCCCCTAGCCTTGTTGGTGCCCCTCACTCCTGACTCCATGGACATGCCAGTGCCCCTCAGTTCCAGGCCACAGCTTCTCCCAGCCTGAAAGAGGAAACCCGTGCTTTCCTAAGTTTTTCTGTGACTATTCATGACCCTTTCAAATAATCTTGCAACCCACTTTTGGGTCGTGACCCATGGGCTGAGAAACACTAATATAGCATAACGGCTCATATGGTATCTTTGATACTAGTACGGACATTATTTTGTAGAATTTGTTATCCTAATTAAAAAGCTGTAAAAATAAATCAACTGAACATGTTATGCATATTTCCACTAGCAACCTCATCTAAAATTTTTAGCCATTGCTTCAATGAGACTGCCTGCCTGCTTGCTTGACACAGAGGGTGCTTTATTTCAACCCTGGATATTTTGGAGCTCATTGTGGGATTCTGTTGAAACAAAGATGGCTATATAAATAATAAAGGGCATCAGCATGATTTGCTCCTGAAGTTTTCCAATCAAAAAGCTCAATATGTTTTAGGATTTCTGAAGGTGGACCAGCTGTTGGCAAGATGCTCATCTTTTGGAGGGCTGCGGTTGTAGAGAATTGTAAACGAATGGGAAGGTATCATGATGCCACTTTATACATCTATGGTGTGTCTACACCTTGAATACGATACCCAGCTCTCATCCCCATGGCTCAAAAAGGATATATAAGGACTAGAGAAGGTCCAGAGAAGGGCAGCAGAGACGATTAGTAGTATGGTGGGGGGTCTTCTAAAGGAGAGACTCAAGGGGCCGGGCCTGGGCTGTTTAGGAAAGAGGCACTTGAGGGGACAGGAGCAGGGTGTGCGGGAGACTCAAGGGCAAAGAGAAAGTCCGTGGGAATTTGGTACCGACTCCCTCACAACGCAAGGAGCGGTCTCATTTTCTGTTCCTTACGCCGTTTATGACTGCAATTTCCAGCCTTTTACCACAGACAATTACTGGAAACAAACCCCAGACCGGCTCCAATTAAAGAAGTTCGGTCTCACCGAGTCTGCCCCATTGCAACAGCCTGGTTCAAAGCATGATCTGCCCTGCCTGTTAGCTAATATCGTATAAAACTGCAATTTCTGCCCGTTTGGGATCTGTCATTTTCACTGCTCTCTTCCCAGGCCAACACAAGGAGGGGTCCGCAAATGACGGGAGCGAGCGGGTGGGTTAAAACGAACAACCGGCACTTCCTCGTCACCCGGCCTGTTGCTCCCCGGAGTAGCTCGGTGCCGCCCAGCACGGTGGAGGCTGCCCGGTCCACAAAGGGAGTGGAGGAAAGGGGCGCCCGTCGCTGCTGAGCAGGGGAGCGAGGGGCATGGCCAGTGTTCAGCACTTTCTAGGCCTTAAATGCTGGAGGCTGCACATGAGAGAGGACACGGGGGGGGGGGGGGAACCCCCATCAGACCCGGTCCCTCTCCCTTGTGCCCGGGGCGACGCTGGATCCGAGCCCAGCGGCGGAGGAGCGCGGACGCGGGGCAAGAGGGACCGCGGTGTGACGCAGCCCCTGGGCCCGCTCCCGGCCCCACGGCTTGGCCCCCCCTCCTCACCGTCCGGTCGGAACTCGAACTCGAGAAACTCGTGGCCGAACTTGCCCTTGTGCCCCACGTAGTAGCGCAGGTAGAAGTCGCTCGCCATGGCCAGCGAGCGCGCGCGGCCTCTGCTGGACCAGCATGCACCGCGTGCCCCCAACGTGGGCGCAGGGAGATGGCGTCACGCCTCACGACCAGGACCGGGAGGACGGGGGGGAGAGGCACGTGACCCGAACGTCACTGCTAGCTGGGCGGGGTAACGGCTGTCCTATTCCCAGTGATCGGAGAAGGTAGCGGGAGGGGGCGATAAGTCACGTGGCAGCGCCTTCGCGCGCTGATTGGCTGGCCGGGCA